ATATATATATATATATATATATATATATATATATATATATATATATATATATATATATATATATATATATATATATATATATATATATATATATATATATATATATATATATATATATATATATATATATATATATATATATATATATATATATATATATATATATATATATATATATATATATATATATATATATATATATATATATATATATATATATATATATATATATATATATATATATATATATATATATATATATATATATATATATATATATATATATATATATATATATATATATATATATATATATATATATATATATATATATATATATATATATATATATATATATATATATATATATATATATATATATATATATATATATATATATATATATATATATATATATATATATATATATATATATATATATATATATATATATATATATATATATATATATATATATATATATATATATATATATATATATATATATATATATATATATATATATATATATATATATATATATATATATATATATATATATATATATATATATATATATATATATATATATATATATATATATATATATATATATATATATATATATATATATATATATATATATATATATATATATATATATATATATATATATATATATATATATATATATATATATATATATATATATATATATATATATATATATATATATATATATATATATATATATATATATATATATATATATATATATATATATATATATATATATATATATATATATATATATATATATATATATATATATATATATATATATATATATATATATATATATATATATATATATATATATATATATATATATATATATATATATATATATATATATATATATATATATATATATATATATATATATATATATATATATATATATATATATATATATATATATATATATATATATATATATATATATATATATATATATATATATATATATATATATATATATATATATATATATATATATATATATATATATATATATATATATATATATATATATATATATATATATATATATATATATATATATATATATATATATATATATATATATATATATATATATATATATATATATATATATATATATATATATATATATATATATATATATATATATATATATATATATATATATATATATATATATATATATATATATATATATATATATATATATATATATATATATATATATATATATATATATATATATATATATATATATATATATATATATATATATATATATATATATATATATATATATATATATATATATATATATATATATATATATATATATATATATATATATATATATATATATATATATATATATATATATATATATATATATATATATATATATATATATATATATATATATATATATATATATATATATATATATATATATATATATATATATATATATATATATATATATATATATATATATATATATATATATATATATATATATATATATATATATATATATATATATATATATATATATATATATATATATATATATATATATATATATATATATATATATATATATATATATATATATATATATATATATATATATATATATATATATATATATATATATATATATATATATATATATATATATATATATATATATATATATATATATATATATATATATATATATATATATATATATATATATATATATATATATATATATATATATATATATATATATATATATATATATATATATATATATATATATATATATATATATATATATATATATATATATATATATATATATATATATATATATATATATATATATATATATATATATATATATATATATATATATATATATATATATATATATATATATATATATATATATATATATATATATATATATATATATATATATATATATATATATATATACCAATTCTCGAATAATGAGAAAGATTTATTTAAATCTCAAACAAAATACAAAATGTTATAAAAAAATTGTTTATGTATTGTTTATTTGTTGCTTTTGTTTCACTCAAAAGAGATCCCGAAAGAAAATTATGAATACGTATTGAAGAAACCGTGAATCTTAGCAATGTAAACGAACTCTGATGCCATGCGTTAACAATTCAATTTAGTACATATAATAAATAAATTAACACGTTTTTAGAAGTGCGCAATTTAATTAACAATGATTAAGCTTTTAACTGAATTAGACAAAAAATTATTCAAAAGGACGTAAACAAGTTTTAAACTAGTCATTTAAAACACACAAAACTCCGATAAAAATGTTAATTAATTATAAATTAATATTCCGTTCTAAATATTTTCATTATACATGGAATGTCATTACACGGAACAGTCAGAAACTGTTTTTAGCATTGAAAAGCAGGGTCATAACCCAGGAAATACTTTCGAGTTTTTGTACTTACGCAAAGATTCTTGTTAAGGACTTCTTTCTTCTGAAGATTTCTTTTTTCTCTGAATAGTGCAAACAAAAAAAAGCTTTCCATAATGAAGAAAAAATTTTGATATTTTATTATGACTTTTTTTCTGTCTGTGAAGTCGCTAATTACTAACATGGTTAAGGTACGGCAATTTTTAAACTGGGATTCGCTCTTGGATAATTACTAGAGGATAGTAAAGAAATAATTGCTGCATATCAAAACTATTGTGGACAGTTATATAATTAGTTAACCCTTAGCGATTTTGACAGCTCAATGTTGCTATTATATTTAGATTAAAAGGAAGAAACTTCTTAAGGCATAAAAATAACTTAAGAATATGGTGTTCAAAGCGATGATTCTGAAGATAATCAAGCATTTCACATATTTTTACCCTATAATGCTAAAATGGGCGCATTTCCTATAATTTAAATTTTTTTTATTTTTAAATTTTCCATAAAAATATCTGTAGAGTTATCTATAAATAAATATCTTTTCACGTACATAAAAATTCAATCGTTGATTTGCTGGGAATATTTTGTGTCGTCAGCGCAGATGTAAATAAAGCAAAGCTTGAATCGTCTTACTTTTCAAAACTATAAGACCAATATTTTCTCTGAATTTATTTAATGGTTGAAATTGATACAACATTATTACTCCTTTCCCACGTGGACCTCAGTTTACAGCGCACAATTTAGATATTTTATTAATATTCCTTAAAATCATTATCTGTAAATGGTTTAATCAAGTAATTATTTATGTTGGGACATTTCACAGTAAAGTGCTAAGCATTCTCAGTTTACTTACCTGTTAACTTTTTTAAAATAGCTTTTATTTGTATTGTGTAGCCTTTTAGTTATATTATTCTATTTTTTCAACCTAGTCAATCAGTAAATTCATTTTCAATAATTAATTTAGCATCACAAAATTATGCTGTAATTGATACAACATTATTACTCCGTTCTCATAAGGACCTTGGTTTATAGCACACAATTTAGATATTTTATTAATATTCTTTAAAATCATATAAATGGTTTAATCAATCAATTATTTATTTTGGGACACTTCACAGTAACATTTTAAGCATACTTAGTTTTTTTTCACTGTTAACTTTTTTAAAATATTTTTATTTGGAGTATGCACCCTTTTAGCACTATTATTCTATAATTTGCAACTGAGTCAATCAAAAATTCCACTTTCAATAATTAATTTAGCATCACAAAAATATGCTGTATTTGATACAACATTCTTATTCCGTTCCCACATGGACCTCGGCTTACAACATACAATTTAGATAATTCATTAATATTCTTTAAAATCATTATCTGTGAACACTAGAAAGACTGAAATACCTATATTGTCCAAAAGCAGTCAAAATGACTGCAATGTGAAAGAATAACTAATGTATAAAAAAAATTGTTTAAAATTAATTTTTAATATTTTTTTTATTATTTTCAGTTATATAACAAGTTATTAGTAAATATTAACAATACAAAAAATTATATGTTGTACAAAAAGTCACAACATTCTAAGAAATTGTGTGATCATTGTTTTTCTAATTGAAATTAAAAAGCAGTCAAAATGACTTCCTTGGGCTATCTATCTAGCGTTAATGGTTTAATCAATTAATTATTTATGTTGGGACATTTCACAATACAATTTAAACATACGTAGTTTTTTTGTTAACTTCTTTAAAATATTTTTTATTTGGATTACGTACCGTTTCAGTAATATTATTATATATTTTTCAACTAAGTCAATCAGTAAAGCCACTTTCAATAATTAATTTAGCATCACAAAACTATGCTGTATTTGATACAACATTATTACTCCGTTCCCCCATGAACCTCAGTTTACAACACACAATTTAGATAATTTATTAATACTCTTTAAAATCATTATCTGTTAATGGTTTAATCAATAAATTATTTATTTGGGACATTTCACAATAAAATTTTAAGCATACTTTATTTTTTGTTAACTTTTTTAAAATATTTTTTTATTTGGATTACGTACCCTTTCAGTAATATTATTATATTTTTTTCAACTGAGTCAATCAGTAAGTCCACTTTCAATAATTAATGTAGCATCACAAAATTATGCCGTAATTGATACAACATTATTAATCCGTTCCCATATGGACCTCGGTTTATAGCACACGATTCAGATATTTTATCAATATTCCTTAAAATCATTATCTGAAAATGGTTCATGGTTTAATCAATTAATTATTTATTTTGGGACACTTCGCAATAAAATTTTAAGCATACTTAGTTTTTTTTTCACTGTTAACTTTTAAAAAATATTTTTTATTTTTATTACGTACCCTTTTAGTAATATTATTCTATTTTTTTCAATTGAGTCAATTAAAAATTCCTCTACCAATAATTAATTTAGCACCACAAAATTATGCTGTAATTTAAAGAATTAAAAACTTACTTCAACATGGGACAAAGCGCTGTTATCCCGTGGAGTTATCATAGTATCACCTATTCCACTATCAGGAGATGGTAGATCCACAGTCAAAGTTGGCAGATTTCCTTTATAATTAGCAACTTGCCTGATATAGCGATCAACAAGCGTACTTGTATTAGAAGTATCCGAATAAGCAGATATACCATTAGTTTGCCGAATTTGTTCGGTGTAATAGTCAGTAAGTCCTCGGTATTCCGGTGAAGTAACCATATACACATTTGGGGATTGGCCTGCATACTGTAGATTCCCGGAAAACTGAGCTGCTAAGGACTCATAACCTTGAGCTAAGACATGACTGGTAATCACAGAACTAGCAGGTTCCCCTTTTACTTCATCAGACATTGACTCCTGCTTTACATGAATCATTGGAAGTGGTGACAAAGGTCTCTGAAGTCTGTCGTCTGTCGAGGAATTGGTTATGATGTTTGAGGATTTGTGCACAATTCCACTTGTTGGAACGATTAACTCCTCAGTATCGTTTGGATCTTCTTGTTTTACAATGTTTTCTCTCAAATAGAGCTCAACTTCTTGGGGAGTTAATTCGTCGACGAATTTTCGATTCTTTAGTATATCTGCTGCTTGTGATTGAAGTAAATGCACGGGGATTGAAGAGGATACATTACCATTGCTGAAAACACTGTTTTGACTATTTGACACTGAATTGGCAACCCTGAAAAAAATAATAACAAAATTATCTGGAGAAGAAAAAAAAAGTTTTTTTTAATAGAAGCAGTTTTTTAATAAATTAATTTATTTTCAAGCACTAATTTTGATTAATTGTTTAATTCTAAATTATGGCTTTGTTCTATCGGGATATTGCTTACTTTTAACGTGGTTTTAGTGAATAAACTGATGATTTTTGTTGTTGAATGATTATTTTCTTGTATCAATTGTAAAATTTGATCAAAAATAATGCAGCACTGACTATTATTTTTATGTGAAGGTTCATAGAGTAACCCCTTGACATAAATTCTTGTTTGACTAATTTTGCACATTTTAATGTGCAAAATTAGTCGAACAAGAATTAATATCAAGAATTAATATCAATATTAATATCAAGAATTAATATCAATTATTTATTCTTGACATTAATTATTAATAATATCAAGAATTAATTATTAATGCTTGGTATTAATTATTAATTAATTCTTGATATTAATTATTAATCGATATCAATTATTAATTCCTGATGTTAATTCTTGATATTAATTAATATTAATATCAAGAATTAATATAAAGAATTAATATCAATTATTATGATTTGGATAAAAAAAAAATTTTATCCCACTCATAATATACTGCCTTTGTAATAAAAAATATTAATGCTTTAAATTTCTGAAATTTATTTAAGATAATAATTTAACTACATATAAAAAATTAAGTAGTCAAGGAATTAAGTAAATTAAGTATAATATAACTAAATCATTATTACATAAATTGTGAAGTACAGCATTATTGTATAACAAATATATTAGTGATGATACAACTTTGTAACTAAAGTCGATAACTTAACTTTGGTTTTGATCAATAATTTAATTTAAGGCCTTGGACAATAACTTAACTTTAAAATTTTTTTTTACAATTAGTAAATTTTATAGTAATTAAATTATATCGATTAATTAAATGTTAGATTTATTTATAGACAGATGTTGGACAGGAATGTTTCTTAATTATAAATAAAAACATAAAAAACTACTTTAAAATGTTGCGTTTAAAAATACAAATGTTCTTTTTTTTTTTTTTTTTTTTTTTTTTTTTTTTTTTTTTTTTTTTNTTTTTTTTTTTTTTGTAATGTGTTTGTCACATACGACAGTAAATGTTTCATAGTAAGGAGAAAAACATAAAATTATACAGTTAACATTTAAATGGTGATAATCGTAAAACAAAATTTAATTGAAAGGCATTTTCTTCAATGATTGATTCTTGAAATGATTTCACAAATGCAGAAGTTATGATAAAACTATGTTCTATTTCAGATAACGTCTTAGTCAATAACTTTAGTTAAAAAAGAAAGTGTTTTAGATTTGTTTGATTTTTAGATAAATTACTTTACATTGGTCAGCCAAATTCTAATTGAAATTATATCAAAATATGGAAAAGGAAAGATTTTAGGTTTTATCATATTGGTGTAAATATTTAATACATTGTTAGAAATTTTGAAGAATAATAAGGAGCTACCACAATAAGGTATTAATTGAAACCAATTCTTCTTGAACTTTAACTCACGATAATATGATTCAGTTCAACTTAATTACAACATCGTTCAACTGAAAATCGCATTACAGTTGAAGCAGTATAATTTAAAGTAAGTGTTAATATGGAACAATTTTATCAATAGAAATGTCTTTTTTATGAAATTGTTCTATTTAAGCAGAAATGTTTGTTATCTTACAGAAAAACGTAATTAATTATAAAAAAGGCAGCTGATTTTGGTCTAATTGTAAAGAACAGTCTTATCTTCAAAAAACACTTAGTCCAAAACCTTTCATGTCATTAGTCAACGGTCAGTAACCTTATGTCAGAAAAGGACTTTTCACTTTTTAATCTTCAGGCAGTAACAAACATGTCATTAAAAACCTAACACAATATATTTAAATTTCAAAATCCTCAATGTATCAATTTACACCTTGATTCGAAACCAGCTTTGCTGTTTAATGTCTTAACGACGTTTTTCAACAAAATGGGCCAAGGTGCAATAAGAAAAAAAAAAGAAAAAGAAAATTTATCAAGTAAGTAGAATTGTTTGATAATGAGTGCGGGCGTTTGTTAATTCTTTCTTTTACAACTTTTTTTTTCTTCATTTACCGCTAGTAATAGGTGTTTTAGTTTTTGAAGTTCGTTGTTCGGAAACGTCCTCGATCATAAAGTTAGATCGCTGTCCGGATTGCAGACAAATGAATTATCCTGTTTCCTACTGAACTCGTTTTAACATCGTTTTCTTAATGGCACTTATAAAGCAATGATGTCAGTTAATAAAGCGGTAGCTCTGAATAATTTCAAAGACGATCGTAATAATATCCTAAATGTCTTGAATGGGCTTTTTAGTGATGGAACAATTAATTAAAAAAAATGTGAAAAAAAGCTTCCGTCAATTTCTACATGGAAGAAATTTGCAGCTTTGCAGACATGTTGAGTATGAAAGTGGTAAATCAAAAACTATTTTTTAATAATATTTTTTTTCCTATTTCTGCATGTAATAGGCGTTTCTGTTTGGTGTTTTCTTTTGTTTTCGGAAACGTCTTCGATTACAAAGTTTGGTCGTTGACCGGTACTTACAACTTACAGATAAGTAAATGAATTATCTCGTTTTCTATTTAACTCGTTTTAACATCGTTTTCTTAATGGCACTTATAAAGCAATGATGTCAGTTAATAAAGCTGTTGTTCTGCAGGATTTCAAAGACGATCGTAAGAACATCTTAAATGTCTTGAAAAGGCTTTTTAGTGATGGAACATTGTATCTTAAAAAATGTGAAAAAGAGTGTCCGTTAAAATTCTGCTTAGAAGAAATTTTGCAGCATGTAAAATATTACTTTATAAGTGGTAAATCAAAAACTTTTTTTTTCAAAAATATATTTTTTTCTCTGCGTGTAATAGGCGTTTCTGTTTTTTCTCTTCTTTTTTCCGGAAACGTCTTCAATTACAAAGTTTGGTCGTTGTCCGGAACTTACGACTTGCAGATAAATAAATTAATTAATTATCTTGTTTTCTATTTAACTCGTTTTAACATTGTTTTCTTAATGGCACTTATAAAGCAATGATGTTAGTTAATAAAGCGGTTGTTCTGTAGGATTTCCAAGACGATCGTAAGAATATTGTTCAATATCTCAAATATAGCGCCAACTTGGCATCTTTGTCTCAGCATCCTCGCCACCGTTTGTTGTAACCCTAATCAGTTGAAAATTAGTTGTTGATCTTATAGCATGAGCGTGCTCGTAGCACCAATCATAATAAAATCTTAGATACAGTCCATATCTATTTTAATCATTTGTCAACAAACGAACCAGCATAGAAATCAATCAATTGGTATCGAACTAATTATCTTAAATGTCTTGAAAAGGCTTTTTAGTAATGGAACAATTAATTTTAAAAAATGTGAAAAAAAGTGTCTGTTAAAATTTTGCTTATAACAAATTTTGCAGTATGTATAGTATTACTTTATAAGTGGTAAATCAAAAACTTTTTTTTTCAAAAATATTTTTTTTTCTATTTCTGCATGTGATCGGCGTTTCTGTTTCGTTTTTTTCTTTTATTTTCGGAAACTTCTTCTATTATTAAGTTTGATCATTGTTGGGAACTTGAGACTTGAGATAAATAAATGAATTATCTTGTTTTCCATTGAACTCATACTCATTTTCTTAATGACACTTATAAAGCACTGATGTCAGTTTCTAAATCAGTCTCTCTTTTGGATTTTAAAGAAGATAATGGAATGACATAAAAAGATTTTTGAGCCATTGAGAAACTAGTTTAAAGATTAACATTTTCCTAAACACAGAAAAAAAAATTGTTAAAATTTCCGTGGAAAAGTTTTATTGCTTTCCTCAAATGTAAAAGAAAACCTTTAAATTAATGTCTTATATACCTTCGATGAATAAATAAATAAAATTTCACTATAAGAAAACTAATTCAAATCTTTATGCACACGCAAACAGATAAATAATTAAAAAATTAAGAATAATTTTATACTTTAAGAAGTTTTTGTTTATTTTATTTTAATAATGCTTTTATTTAAAATAAATTTTTATTTCCGAATTAAATAAAACAAATGAAGCCACTTTTTGAGCAATAAGCAATTCTAAAACGATAGTTCAGGATTTGCAAAAAATTTGACAGGTATTGTAGGGAGATTCAATATTTTAATAAAAAGAAAATATTCTCTAATCATATTCTGATTTTGTGCAAGATTTTCCTATAACATTGAATGGCATCAACTTAAAATAGAAAAAGAAATCTATAAACCGGTTGTTGCACTATGAATCAGTTATTTAGTGGTATCAAATAACCATTAATCATTAAATCCTACGCATTATATTCTTCCCTTTTAATTGTCTACCTGAGCAGAGTAAATACAGCTTATATGGAATACAGCTTAAATTTTAATTTGAAATCGGTTCCACAATCGAAATAATTACTTTTTTTAATATTATTGATAACTTTGTTTTTAATAATAATTTTATCTATTTGTACTGTAAAACATTCTTCTTTAAAATAAAGCGATTTTTTTAAATGAAATACTTTTTTCATTTATGCTATATACTTAGGTATAGATAATTGTTTTTTGTTTTTAAAATGTTTCTATTTTTTAGGAAAAAAAAAGTGATGGAATGGATGAAAAATGTAAGGAAAAATTAATGGGGCGACTGTTAGCTACAAAAAATCATTTCGAAAAATCAACATTTTCGAGAAAGGATTTTTGTTTTTGGACTCGCATGCTATTACGCACTTTTAAACTCGAGTACGTTTTTTTAAAAATGAATAACTAAATGCACTTGATTTTCCAACCACCAAATCCGAATATTTTCTTAAACAAAATCAATTAAATTTGAAAGAGAAAAAAAAGTTTCATTTTAACATAAAATTCAAGGGAAACATTCAAAAATCCCATTTTTCTTACCGATTTGGATAAAAAAAGGATAAACTATATATTACTATTATTTTTAATTTTTATATTTTTATAAACGTCAACCCAATTTTTGGGTTTACGACTTCTATTTTTCAACTCCGTAGCCTTGTACTTTCGAACTAAATCCAGAAGACAAAGGAACTCCTTAATCAAGTATTGGGAGTAATTTGCCTTCGTGAAAGACTTCTTGATGGAACTAACCCCAATTTGCGTTACATGGAGATGAAGACCGCTAGAACAGTCCACAATTAGCCTGACAGCAAGGGGACTCCAACCCAGGATCCGTCTACCACTGAGGATATTTCACGTCAGCACTGTGATTGGTGCAAGCCGGATGCGGAATTAGTATCGACTGGGATTCGAACCCGGTTCGTTTCATTAGAAGGTGAACGCTCTATCCCCTGAGCCATCGCGGCTCTACGCGCCGTTATGTCAAGCACAGTTTTTTTTCACCAAATTGTTCTTTAGTATTGTGTCCAGATAGACTTCGTAAGTCTTCGAACTTTCCACTATAACAGCATAATAGATAGTAACCCCTTATTGCTTCTAACTGAAACATTATCCTAAGAAAAATGAAAACGTTCATTCATATATATATATAAGGTGTTTTAGTTTTTNTAATACAAAAATTAAATACTTTTGTATTAATAAAAGCATTAAAACTTCATTCCTTTTCATTAAATATCTTTAGTAAAGGATAAGGGTAGAAATTCTATTTTGGGACTTCAAGGCTAAAAACATGCCAATGAATAATAATTAGATTTATACTTCAAAAGAGAAGTTATTTTAAGATCTTTCACCTCCATATAAGGAAAGATTAAACGATTTGCTATGAGTAATAAATAAATTGATGAGGCGTAAGAATACAGAAAAAGGCAATAGTGACTGACCTCTTCACAACTTGTAATCATCCTATAAAACGCAGGACCGAGTGTTTTTGCGTGGCTTTTTGGTTGTTTATCATGCTTAAATAAAGTCCGTCAGCTTAGACGGGACATGGGCCTCCCCCCATCTCCAGCGGGAGGAGGCTAAGATGTGTATGCTTTCACCATCGCTTCTAAATAAAAATGACTATGCACAACATGGACTCGTTAATCATGCTGCTTTGACTACTAATTAACTAAAAAATAACGCTGTGGATACACCGTTATTTCATATATATATATATATATATATATTAAATTTAAAGTATAAAATGAGAACTACATGTTTAGGGAGTATATAGCGGGACATTCATCCATAAGGCACAGTTAGTTCTACACATGGGAGTCAGAAACTATTCGTTAACGAGAAATTCAAAAATTTCCTGATTACGTAAGAGAAGATGGGTTTCGTGAGCAGTCAAAACAACAGAATACCTAAGTAATGACGTATTGTTTGACGTCATTACAGTCGTCAGGCTCGGTCAGAGTGATTTAACCCAATGTAATTTCCAGTTCTAATAATGGTTCCTAGTTAAGAGCCTTGCGGCTAAGGCGTGCACCGTATAAAATGAACGCTCCAATAATTGACATTCTTTCTCATCCACTTATTGATCAACTCCACCTACATATCGTCACCTCCAATCCACGCCTACAACTTGATCTACATGCGTAGGCATCTTTTCACTTTAACTCTCAGTTTTTCCCCCATTCATATTCAAGGCTATTAACCTTTCTACTTACCTTCTTGAGAAATTGGTAAGATCATTTTCTATTCCTTAAGATTTGAAAGAAGAAGTGGTATGAAACGGGTGGAGAGCGGGTTAATATTAAATAACAAGAAGTTTTTTAAACCGAAATGGCAGATATAAATGTCGTCGAATTAAGTAAGGAGTGTAACGCTCAAACAGAGACTCTATTGTCTGATTTTTTTTATTTTTAACAATGATTTATCCAATTATGGAAATAATATTGTAATAAAATAGTAGAATATATTCTCCGATTTTGTGTTTATGTAGAAAAGAATGAACAAAATCCTCCCACGAAATTGTTCAGGATTTTATTTTTCCTTAATTATTTTCTTATCTCTGGTTGTAATTAAAGTGTAGGCTAGTAGCTTTGCCCTACACAGAGAGACCATAGCTAGGTGCAGTAGTAGACTCGTGCAATAAAATAAGTTGTCTGAAGCACATTTTTGACACTAACTTGATAAGTTACTTGATAAGTTACGTAAGCACATTTTTGACACTTTTGAGCTCCCTTCGTGTCAACAAATGTAAGAAAATCACAGTGCTTACGCCCAAAATTTTTTTGGAGTGAGTTGAACAACATCGTTTAAATTTGCTGCAATATGAACTTGGTAGAACCACATTATTGTACTTATTAAAATTTATTACAGGATAACATGGTTCAACTTAATACCTAATCAAGAAAGCAAAATTTTGCACAGTATTATGGTTCAAAGTACCGACATTTTTATTCAAAAAGCCACTTTTTGCTGAATGAAAGAAAGACTCAAAATAGAAGAAAAAATCAAAATAATATAAATAAAATATGAATGGCTAGGAAGAAAAACTTAAAATAGAAGAAATATCAAAATAATATAAATAAAATATGAATGTCTAGGTAGAAAGACTCAAAATAGAAGAAAAATCAAAATAATATAAATAAAATATGAATGTATGAACACTGCATAGTTGGAAAATAGGAGCAGTTCAAATATTACCTAAGGGTGGGAACTTGTGATTTGCTTATTTTTGCTTAAAGATACTTTTGAGTATGAAGAATGCTTACGATTAAAATATCATTATTTTCAAAACATTTTTTAAGCTGAAAAACAATGTTACAAGAAATTTGAATAAAACATTACAGTTGTAAAACCTTCCAATCTTTTTTTTAAAAAAAAGGTTTTAAAAAAAAGTTAGAAAATTATTTCAGTTTTAAGACAAAAGATTCCTAAACGTAAAAAATGTGTAAATAAAACTCTACTCAAAAGCTGACAAATTAAATTGAAAGCGTATATATTTATATATAAATACATTGAAAAGTTACATCATTTACTTTAAATTTTTCCTCGAATTAAATAGATTGAAGTAAAATTCAAAGTAAAAACAAGAGAGGGGCAACTTTCTTGTATGGAATCTCACAAGGGAAGAGCCAACAACATGATTATGTTATACTATTTTAATGGCAGCAAACGATTTTTGACAATGCATTCATAATGCGAAGGTCGTTGGTTCGATTCCCGCATGGGCCAAAGCTTCATTTTTGGGGCCGTGATGGCTCAAGGGATTAAGCGTTCTCCTTCCAATGAGGTGAATCGAGTTCGAATCTCAGCTATAACTGGTCTATACGAATTCCGCATCCAGTTTCCACCGACCACAGACCTCACGTAAAATATATTCAGTGGTAGACGGATCATAGGTTAAAGCTCCTTTGCCACTAGGCTAACCTTGGGAGGTTTTCGTGGTTTTCCTGTCCATGTAACACAAATGCGGGTTGGTTCCATCAAAAAATCCTCCACGAATTCAAAATTTCTCCCAATACTTGATCCAGGAGTTCCCTTGTCTTCTACATTAGGCTCAAAATTACAAGGCTACGGAGGAACATTAGTAGTCGTATACCCAAAATATTGAGTCGGCTGTTGAACTAGGGTTATAAAATTCATTCACATTAAGTGTCAAAGAAAGTAACTTACGTCCAGAAGTCAGGAAGAGATTTATCCATTTTTTCGAGTTTATAATATTCATAAAGAAGTCCCACAGGATTCTGTTCTTGTAACGAGGATCCACCAATATTTAACATGGCTGTTGTTGCCGCTGTTAAAGGATGTTCCCGAAATGATTTCCAAGCATCTTCACCATCAAGATGACGATTAATTGAAGGGGCAGTGCAAGCTGCTGTAAGTTCATCAACTAGTTCTTTATTCTTTCTAAAAAAGAATGAAAAAGAGAATTTAGGAAAAATAATGTGAATAGACTCCCAGAAAAACACAAAGCTTGTTTTTTTTAATTATGTATTTCATTTTAGAAACTTAAAAGTATACCTTCAGAAACCCCTTAAAAGTATACCTTCAGAAATGAAATTTTCAGATATTTAGTGTAGAAAGTATACCATCAGAAACTCCTTAAAAGTATACCTTCAGAAATGAAATTTTGAAACATTTAGTGTAGAATTTTTTATTTTTGAAATATAGAAGTATTGAGAGCTAATGCATTATATTTATAGATTTTAACTATTTTTAAAAGATAAAAAATTTAAATTGTTGAGGAATGAAATAATCAAAAACAGTGAGAAAAGACATTTTTATTTTAAAAAAAAGAGCATAACTTATTAGAAATATTAAATTTTTTTTAATTTTGAGGGATATATAAAGTATTGATATAGTGAATAGATAATGTATTAGACGTAAGAATTTCTAAAAAAATTTACCGTTAATATCACAATGCATTTTTAAAGACAAATATGTAGAGCATATTCATGCAAAACTTGAAGTAAGTGAGATATTTTAAGGTATCAGATTTAAAAATAAAATAAATAAAAAGATCGGGCTATATAGAGAGGCCGTGGTTTATCTTAAACTTTGCTCTAAATGAGATAGAAACAGTATTCAAATAGAATTTTGAAAGTTAATTCTTTTATTTTCAGTAAAAGTTTGATGATTTAGTCATAAATGACATAAAAAAAGCTTTAAGAAAATAACGCTTGGTCTACACTTTATAGGTGGGTAACGGTTACTCCATAGGGATGTTAGGACTTTATAGAGGGAGATTAGAAAGTACATGGGGGCTTTTTATTTGGGTAATTTTATGATTATAGAGTTGTTAGGACTTTCTATAGGGAATTGTGACAATTTAAAATTATATAAATTAAAACTACTAATACATATCATACCTTAATAATAGCTTTTGAACTCATCATTATTATTCATGCATATTTATTGGTTTAGAGACTTCCAAGCCAAAGAGTTTTAAAGCTTTCAAACTATTTCTCAAAGAGATGATGAAGTGAATGTTTCTCAAAGAGAAGATGAAGTGAATGTTTCTCAAAGAGAAGATGGAGTTAATGTTTCTCAAAGAAAAAATAGAGTGAATGTTTCTCAAAGAGAAGATGGAGTGAATATTTCTCAAAGAGAAGATGGAATGAATGTTTCTCAAAGAGAAGATAGAGTGAATGTTTCTCAAAGAGAATATAGAGTGAATGTTTCTCAAAGAGAAGATAGAATGAATGTTTCTCAAAGAGAAGATAGAGTGAATGTTTCTCAAAGAGAAGATAGAGTGAATGTTTCTCAAAGAGAAGATAGAATGAATGTTTCTCAAGGAGAATATAGAGTGAATGTTTCTCAAGGAGAAGAACGATAGAGTGAATATTTCTAAAAGAGAAAATAACATAAGAGGAAAGAAACAAAAATTATGAATTTTGTGAAAATCGGATCTGGAAATAGATTTTTTTTACTCTTGTTTTTTTTATTTTTCACTCTTACGAAATTTGGTTCGAAGTTGAACCATAATTCTTCGAAACACAATACCATGCCACAATATTGCAATTAAATTAAGTTAGAATTAATTTGCACAATAATACGGCTTAATGTGACACCATAATAACATTACCTCAAAATGGCACAATATTGTGGTACAACACGATTCAAAATTTCTGATAGTTCACAAGAGGTTGATAAAGAAAATGAAATGTGACACTAATGCACATTTCGGTAAAATTTTATTGGAAATAATCCGATTTATGATCAAAAGGGTTTTTAGAGATGCATTATAAAAAAATTTTTTTAGAGATGCATCATTTTTAGAGAAGCATTATAAATTTTTTTTTAAATAAATAAATAAAGGAAATTGTTTCTGAACATAAGTGAAGCATATGATTTTATAATTATAATGGATCTATTGATATTTTACGAAGATATATTCTAATAAATAAATTATTTCTGAATGTAATGTAGTACGTGTTTATTATTATTGATTCGAGTTGTGTATATTTATTATAAAACAAAATTATTTTATGAAGCTCATAAATAGTAAGAAATCACTTCTTAAGTAGAAAAATTCATTTGACCTTGAAGTGTACACTTTTTGCATGGTTAGTCAACAGTATCAACCACAATGTTTAGATTCTATACGAAAACAATTTGTATTTCACTATTCTTTTTTTCATTAACTTTCTCTTATTGTATTTCATTTATTTTATTATATCAGATTAAATATTTTGTTTCTGTCTACTAATTAATTTAAAGATTAACGACGCTTTTAAAAAAAGTTTTTTTCAATTTAATCAAATAATATGTTCTCTTGGAAAGTAATTCCAGAAGCTGGAACTCATGACAATAAAAAAATACTGCGCATATTGTATTGACATGCACTACGAAAAAAAAAACACCCTGTATAACTTTTGATCTCAGATTTTCACTCTAAAGTTTGGACTTCTATGTTAATTTTTCTTTTTGCGTTTTTGGTCATATTTCGAGAAAAGTCGTGCATTTAAAATTCAATTTCGCCGAAACTGTGCGACCGATTTCGTTCAGTATTTTAGTCTCATAAAATTACATTCCTTAAAATATTGTAAAAGTTTTTATACCTCACAATTCAAATGTTTGAATATTATTAAATAAAAGTAATAAATAATTATTTAAAATTACTTTTTGCTTGGAATTTTCTTTGGACGAACGAATGTGGACAATGATTTTTCGATTTCCTTAAAAAAATCTTCGAGATATGGTAAAATACGCAAAATGTAAAAGTAATATTAAGGAATTCAAACCTAAGGCAACTCTCCTGTCATAACTAATAGGACCAATTTCCCAAATTGCAGCTACCTTTCAAATTTTGAGAAATCCAAATCCGTTGGAAAAAATGTATGTTTATACAGAGAAAGAATGTTTTTGCGTCAGATTTCGTAACTTAGAATATCGTCTGCACTAATTAATTAGCATATTTGAAATTATCCTCTCTAGATATTAAGATCAAAATCCGATCAAAAGGCTTATTGTGGAATATTCAGTTAATAACTTCCTTTTTTATACTTAGGGATCAATAACGTCGTATTTGAGTAGCAATTTTTGTTGCTGTATTTTCTATCGCGTTCATAATCTGAATTTCAAGGCCTGTTTCATACCTTCAATTTATGAAAAATAGTTATTTTCTTGGACACCTGGTGACTGAGTGGTAGCGCTTAGCGCTCCCGTGCCGCAGGTCCTGGGTTCGATTTCCGGGCTGGGCAAGGTTTACTCTACCTTTCATTCCTTTAATGGGTCGATAAATGAGTACCAAGCTTGCTTTGGAACTAAACACTGGGGGTTTCACGTTCGGCTGACCACCTAACATCAGCTCCTGCACCCCAGAGCCTAAGGTCAAGAATACTGATATGCAGTAGCCTAAGGTCAAGAAAACTGATATGTAACCATAGTAGGCCTTGACCCTCTATGGGCTGTCGCGCCACCGAGTTTAGTTTTTTTTAGTTCTAGTTATTTTCTTGGTTAAATTATAACCACTCGCGAAAAAAATCTTATGTCCTTATCTATGAATAGTAATAACCCTTTGAAATATGGCCTTATAGTTCATGAAATGTTTCAGCATCTGTTTTTTTTTTCTCCATAGTACAGGGTGTTCCAAAATTATCTTTACATCACCTGACTTGAAATTGATTACAGACTGGGAGTGCTTAGGGCCACCAATGGTGCGCATGTGGAAGTGTACTAAACAAAGCTTTATTAGTTGCCGTAATACATGCAAAAGACAGAATATAAATATCTTGTTTATTTTCAAAGTTATGAATTTTTGAAGTTGTAAAGAGAATTTTGGAACACCCTGTAAAATAAACTAAAAAAACTAATAACTGGTAAATATCGAACCAAAACTTGGTGCAAGATTTCTAAATGCACAATAGTTTGACTAAAGGAAAAATTGTTTTATTTTAGTTGCACAATAAATTCATAAGTATGGTCGAGAAATGAATTCATGATCATACATGGGAACGTTACTTTTTAAAAGTAACGAATAAAAGTACAAGTACTTTTAGCAAGAGTAACGAGTAAAGAGTGAAAAGTTTTGATTTTAAGAAATTACGAGTAAAAAGTAAAAGTTCAAGTACAAAACAAAGAAAATAACGATTTTAAAGTACAATTCGAGAAAACCGATAATTCAAAGTAACCGTAAAACTTCATTAAAAAAATCTAAGAAAACTTTACTTAAAATACATCAAATTTTAATTTAAATTTATAAAACTTTAAAAGTAGGAAAATGTTACAAAATTCATTGAAATAGTTAACGTTGGAAATATCTAGAAATCAAACGCAAATTCTTTATATCAAAAGGAGTTTTAAATTAGTTTTAAATAACATAAATAATTAAATTGAATTAATTACGTTAAATTTAGTTAAAACTATCAAATCTTCAGAAATTTTGCTTTTACTGTCGGAATTTAATGTAATAAATTAATTTCTCGAACAAATTCGATAACATTTTAATTTTTGTTTAAAGTAAAAAATAAAGTAAAAAAATTAAAACTTGTATTCATATACAGGTAACCCCTTGAAATCTATTAAAGTTAAAATTTTATTACTGTTTCATAAAAGTTTAAAAACAATTTTAGAATTTTAAATAACGACGGTTTTTTAATTTGTTGTTAATTTTGTAATAATAAAAAATAGAGCACGAAATTTTTATTTTAGAATTTAACCATATGATGAATATTCATATGGCAAAATTTAAAAAAGAAGAAAAAGTAACTTTTATTTAAAATCAGAGAAATAACAAAACTCTAGAGTTTTTTTAGTACTAACTATATCTTAAATAAATTAAATATAATTTTTATATTTTTAAACATCTGGCCAAAAAATGAATTTTTGTGCAAAAATGCTTAGTTTAGTAGCCACAAATAAATTATTGAATTTATTTAGAAAAACAAACATATAATTGACACAAA